ATTGTACTCACAGACTTATTTTTTAAGAGTAACTAATTGACAAAGAGTTTAAAATAGATTGTTTTTTTTGTATTCTGGTAAAAATTTGTAATGAAAGTATAGTAGACATTTTTAGCTAGTACGTGCATCTTGTGCACAAGGCTGTCTACTCATTCAATTACCAGTACCTGTAGCACAAGCAGCATATGTTCTGTACAAATTTACAATAAATATCATTATACCAGCATAATTCATACTAATTCGCAAAATGTTTCTAAATATTTCATATTTCTTTTTCCTGGTTTGAGCACTAGTACAGTCATCGGTCAGAAAATCATAATGGCATTTTAACCTCTCTGATTATTATTGTTGTGTTTAATCAAACCTGATTTTAAAAACCTCTTTTTAATGAGATTGGTTGATATTGGTTGATTTTTTTCTGCTGACCCAGTTTTAACTGCAAAACTTGGTCATAGTGTGTCTATCCATAATGTTTAATGCTTTCACAGCACAATTAATTTTATGTAAGTGCTTTCAAATAGAAAACAAATACTGTAAATAGTTGATATTATAATTATAATCATTTGTCTTTTAGCATTGGGAAGTGTTTGCCAAGGTCTCAGAGGTGTTTATACTAGTCCCAGCTTTATTAGGACTGAAGGGAAACCTGGAAATGACTCTGGCATCACGGCTCTCCACACAGGTAAGTAGAGGGGCCAGTGGCACAAAACAACTTAAAAAGCCTCAAAGTTGGTCTGAACTTTAAGACAAAAGCTCTTAGGCTGTGTTCACATGAAAAATCTATTTTCTAAAAATCTATTTGCGGGATCTTGTGATCACGGTCTGTGCCCTGAATATCCCGCGGCGTAATAGGAGCGGTCTGAGATAGCCTATTTTGAACATCTGCGCAGCAGATGACGTCAAACGAGACCTGGATTGGAGCGAGATTTCACGAGAGGTGGGGTTAAAATCTGCCATTGAAACTTCTCTCGCGGTCGGGCACAAGTCTATGTTATAGGATTGCATTGAGTAAAATTTGGCGTTGTCATGTAATTTGAGATAGAGCAACGCCATGGCGAATTGCCAGTGTTGTGTCGTAGGGTGCATTGCAGTTAAAGCTAAGCAATAAAACCAGGAAAATGACCATGGATGACGGACACGACTTGCGAGAGAAGTGAAGTGAAGTGAAGAAAGAGAAGTTGGGCTTGATCAGATTAAAAGGACTAAGTGCCGACATATTTAAAGTACAGATCAGGTTGCAGTATTTTGTAGGAAGAAAGGGACCAACTGCAGACAACTCGCACCCGATACGTCACTGGCTTCATAGCATCACCGTATAGACTGTATCATCAATGGTCGAGGGCATATTAATAAGTAACTTTTGTGTGTGTAGTTTACAGGACACCATGGTTTGTTAATGTAAAACAGCCCTAGTACTTGTGATAAATACACTGTGTAGTCTTTTACGGTAATCAGGCCCATAACCAGCAATTTTAGAGGGGGGGGGGGAGTTCGTTTTCTGAAAAAGTGGACCTTTTACCATAAAATCCTCAAGTACATAGATCAAATTGCACCCAGAGTGGACCTTTTCCCAGCAAGAAGGGTGGTTCTTTCGAACCCCCCGAACTTTTTTAATAACTATATGACACCTGTTTTTCATATCATTTACTCAGATCACAAATACAACTTCGCCTGTGATGTTGTGTTTATTTGTTGTATTTGTGTATAACTGTCAATAAAATGCAATGATTTTGTGAAAATTTCAACTTATATGTTGTCCATTTTAATACTTTCTTTTGTCATCTTTCCTGTCATTTAAGTCAGATCTGATCACAATGAAACTTACATTTTGTGAATGCTATCCATTAGTTTCTATAGCATCATTTTATGAAGTAAGTAAATAAATGAAGTAAATAAATGAAGAAGTAAATAAATGAAGAAAATTAACTTTATGATCAAGTTTGAGCCTTTTGAATTAGTTACTATAAATTTAGTGAAATTAAAACAAAGATGCAGGCAAGTCTAATGTTCTGATATGCCATCCATCAGTAAATGAAATGTCAAATGATTTTATTTTACTTCTTTATAAATAAAGTTTAATAGTAAAACATTTATAAAGAAAAAATAGTTGCAGTTATAAATCTTTTGTTGTTCAAATGAATCTCATGAAATGACCAGTCAATGAAGAACAATAAAAAATGAACAATATCTTTAATATATTTATTTTGCATCCACTGGCATGTTTAGACAAGCATCTCTTCAAAATCCCAAAGACAGTAATATAAATTGACAATTTAAAAATGAAAAAGAGTGGATAACTATATAAAGTTCTTGACATCTACATCAGGGAAATAGTGAAAAAGGAAGTTTGTAGCCAACACTGATTGAAGAATATTTGCAAAAAAA